AGCTACAACTAGCCTACTACTTTCATCCAATTAAATTTCGTTGATCGAAATGTGGACTCACTTTGAAAATGTTTCTTGTGTGACTTGTCGACTTTTCTTAAGCGAAAATTGATGAGGATTCTTTTAAAATGAACCATAAATCGAGATATTGACAGTTTCGTGGACATGTTGAAACTCCTTTTCAAGCCCCAACCCGTTCCTTTGTTAGCTCACCCCTAGTAGGGGTTACTCAGAGGAAATCACACGGAAGCCAGGGACACTTTCCCTTCCATCATCTAGCTCCAAGGACACTAGAACAATGGGCATTTGGATGATGGGTATTTGGATGGGTATTTGGATGGGTAGATAGTTGATTCAAGAACATTCAAGGAAGTGAAATGTCAGCGTGGAGATAGTTTATTATTTTTTGAACATTTAGTGAGCATTTAATGACTGGATATTAGAATCGAAGTGAGATTTGTTTCTTTAAACGATTTTGATGGTGAATATCGTTGTTTTAAAGTTTTGGTGGTCTCAAAATGTAGGCCAGTTGTCAACAATGAGTTCAATGTTGGAGAAGTACGTCATTATGTCAGAAGTTTCTTTGTTATAATTTGGCTTCGGTAATGTGAAGGTTTATCGATCGGCATATGGCTTTTTTTCAATTAGCTTATCTATAATTGACTTTGTCAAAGACATTTACAAAAAAGTATCTTTAAGAGAGGTTTAAGAGAGGTTTAGGAGAGGTTTAGGAGAGGTTGAAGAGAGCTTGAAGAGAGCTTGAAGAGAGCTTGAAGAGAGCTTTGAGAGAGCTTGAAGAGAGCTTGAAGAGGGCTTGAAGAGAGGTTTAGGAGAGCTTGAAGAGAGCTTGAAGAGGGCTTGAAGAGAGCTTGAAGAGAGCTTTGAGAGAGCTTGAAGAGAGCTTGAAGAGAACTTTGAGAGAGCTTGAAGAGAGCTTGAAGAGAGCTTTGAGAGAGCTTGAAGAGAGCTTGAAGAGGGCTTGAAGAGAGGTTTAGGAGAGCTTGAAGAGAGCTTGAAGAGAGCTTTGAGAGAGCTTGAAGAGAGCTTTAAGAGATCTTTAAGATCTTTAAGATCTTTAGGAAAGCTTTAAGAGAGCTTTAAGAGAGCTTTAAGCTCTTTAAGAGAGCTTTAAGATCTTTAAGATCATTAAGAGAGCTTTAAGAGAACTTTAAGCTCTTTAAGAGCCGACTGAAATGATGGGCGCTTAATTGTTGGCGCTGACCTCCCATAAACCTCAATGCCTAGAGCAAATAATTTATTCAAACAAAAATCACTTTTTCTTTTCCTTTTCTTTTGTTTCTCTTTTCCTCTCTTTCTAAACGATCTTCTTCTTCAATTTGCTTCAGAATTTCTTCTTCCCAATTTCGACGACGACGCGGTTTCTGTAAAGATTTTAATAGACAAATCCGTTTCCTAAAAAGAATCGATTTTCAACAATGAAAAAAAAAACGATCTCCTTCTTTAATTTGCTTGAGAAAGGAACGAAAAGTAGAGTCTAATTGAGAATTTTGAGAATAAATGTGCAGGGTTGAAGCCTTTGCGGTTTAAGCCAATTTCTAGAAACTCACTTGACTCTCCTGATCCCTCTCATCGTTCCCCTGTCCGCGGTGATCCTCTTCACTCAAATTTCCCAATGATTCGTCTGAAATTTTTGAAATTTTCATTTCTTATACTTTGAGCTGGAGCACACAACAGCCTTTTATCAAGCTTTGACTCACCGATGTGCTCATTTAGGGTTTCACTGGGGGAAGCGCGTGTCGCTCGCCGCCGCTTTTCTTGTTTCGTCTCGCTGAAACCAGTGAACAAATCGACGCAAACGATATCCTGGAAGGCACGAGAAATGAAAATGATCGGAAATCGATGCTTTGTTTAATTTGAGACTATTCGGGTACGGTAACGGTTGAACTCTTACTCAACTCTTACTATCAGGGTATTGTGCTCTTACTATCAATGGTCAATGATCTCACCGTCTGTCGTGTGCTCGAGCGTGGCCTTAAAACGGAAATGTTCTTGATTTGTACCCAATAAATGCCATCAACGACGTTCACGTTGTTCATGTAGCGACAACATCTAGAAAAGAAAAAAACTAGAAATCGTAAACGGCAGGTTTAATCAGCTCAATCAGCTCAATCAGCTCAATCAGCTTTTCTATAGGATTACTGTAATCGTTCAGACAATAGAGACAGACGGACATCGTTCAGAGAACGCTAATCTATCAATATCAATCTATCAATTTCTTTCGATCATTTAACTGTTCAGCTAAATCCCAAGCAAATCCCTGCACGTGTTCCTCGATTTTTCGCCATTTTCCCTCCTCGAACTCTTTGTCGAGCTGAAATTGAACTTTAAATTGAACTTTAAATTGAACTTTTTCTTCAGCTTACAATTCAAAGCTTCAAATTGCACTCCAGCTTGGGAATTATCTGTATTTGTTCGAATAGAAGACCAGGTAAGAGACGATCGTGTACTCCTGCGTAGCAGCCCTTTTTAAAATCTCTTTCAATGAAGTGCTATAGGGCTGGAAAATGGCTCAAAAATACCACAAGAGCTAACAGATTTTTTGAGCCATTTTTGAGCCATTTTCCAGCTCTATAGCTCACTTGTTTGAAAGCTTTTATGCAGAAAAAGGGCTGCTACGCAGGAGTACGCGATGATACTCTTTACCCGGTTTTTCTATTCGAACAAATACGGTATGCAAATTTTAAATCAATTTTTCAACAGAATTCCGTCGAAAATTGACCAGCCCAACTCGAAAATCTTAATTGTTCGATCAGTTAACGCGAAAGCGATCGCAAATCATCTCATGCACTCCAGATTGACGGATTTATGTGATTTCACCGACCGTTGCTGGCGGGAGCGCTCGATTTTCCATCTCTTCCACTATCGATGCCGATCGGCTGAGTTTTCGCTGAAGTTTCTTCTCACCTAAAGGTTTTTTTTTGCGATTTTTCGTCGATCTGGAGCGCACATTAGCCAGCTAGGCTGCTAGAATTGCAAAACTCACCGATTTTCGTGTTCCCGTTTACATCGGTTTTCTCTTTGGCGGAGGCGCCGTTTTCGGTGGACTTTTGCGCGCTTGGTGATTTTGATTTGCTGGAATCGGGTCTTTGAATAAAAAGCCTGGATACTGTACCGTAATCTTGGTTATTTTACAGACAACTTACTCCTTTTGTGGCTCGGAGACGCGTTTCCGTTTGGGGTCGATCGCCTCTTGGATATGCAACCAGCCGCCCTGAATTTTTCCAGCTCAATGACAGCAATGACAGCAATGACAGCTCAATGACAGCTCTATGACATCAATGACAGCTCAATGACAGCTTAATGACATCAATGACAGCTCGAACTCTAGCCAAAGCTCTAACCAAAGCCTAGCCCTGTCTAGCTAAGACTAAAGAGCTCAAGCCGATCGGTTGCTGGAGATTTCTGAACTATTCAAACGATTCAAACGATTCAAACGATTCAAACGATCCAAACTCAGCCCTGGACTTATCAGTCTCGATTCCAGCCACCGCTCTAGCTCTATGGAGATGAGGGAGGCATCCCCATGAATCCAAATGGTCATGGGGATACCTTTAAACACTGTTTTTTTTTCCACAGCTATCTCCATGAGTCTTCGGAGGTATGGGAATACCTCCAGGCATTTCATTTGTGGCTGGAATCGGGACTGATAAGTCCAGGGCTGAGTTTGGATCGTTTCGATCGTTCAGAAATCTCAAGCAACCGGTATGGAGGACCTCACTAGGTTGACTCACTTTCTCCTTCAGACATTTACAAGCGGTCATCCAGAAAGCCTTCGACGAGGGCAACAAAGCCATGTAAACACGATCAGCAATGCCAGCTGGGCGCACTGAAAAGGATTCAATTGGCTCTGTTGGCGATCTGATGCCCTGATTCCTGATCATCTCTAATCTTTCATTCAACAATTCAGTTTGATTCACTCACCTTTCCTGCCTCACCCGAATGTACATTGACTTTGTCATCTAAACGGTTGGCGATCGTCGTACGCACCTAACAATCATTGACTAGATCTTTGTTTAGGGATAATTCGCACTAACTAGCACTAGCTTCTTACTAAATAGCATGTTTGAAAAGTTTCTGGGAGACTCACAAGTGACTCAATGGCCTCTTCGTCCCAATCGACTGCATGCTAGTGTCGAGGCGGCGTGGAAATCTTTCAATTCTTTTTCTGTTTTTTTGTCATTTAAAACTTTTTCTTTTGTTGTGCTTATTTCATTATTCCAGTTATTTTTGGTTTTAATTTCTCGGTTTCACATTCTCGGTAAATTGCGTACGGAAGGATTGCTCGCGGATTACGAAAAAACCAGATTAATGCGTGTTTTATTGGTAGAAAAACAAAATTAATAAAAAAAATGGCAAAAGATTTTAGGCAATCCGACTGCGGTGAAACTGCGGTCGAAGTGACTGGGTTCAGGAGAATGAGTCGGCCACTTTAAGCTTAAGGGACTTTTGCACACATAAAGCCTTCTTTAAACATACGTTTGGTTTCATCAAAAGGATCCACTATTTCTCTACAAAATCACTTTTGAGAAATTCCACAAAAGCTTTTCTTTCGTGGAGTTTATGAACTTCAAAGCATAGCTGGTTAAAATGGCAAAGAGTCCGACTCATCATTTGAACGAGTTTCTTTCACATAAACCTTCTTTGGTGTTTATATAAAAAGATAGAGCACATTCAATTACTTAAGTTGCCAAATTTGCAGGAAGATCCCACCAATGGTTTTCTAGATCCAAGGTTGTAGTTTTTGTGAAAAATGGCTTTTCTTGAGCAGAGGCTCTTTGTTTGAATTTTCTTTTAAATGTCATTTTGTAGAATTGAATTAGTTAACCCATTCTACTCATATCAAACCATATTATTGTCGAAGTCGAATAGAAGTTTTAGACATTTTTACATTTTCGGCGCCGACTCATTCTCTCCAACCCAATATATCAAGTCGAAAACCGTTTCTTGATCAAAGAAATCAAGACCAAAAAGCAAGACCAAGACCAAGATCAGAAAAGCCAGACCAAAGCCAAGACCAAGACCAAGATCAAGCCGAATCAAGCCAAGACCAAAGCCAAGACAAGACCAAAAATAAGACCAAAAACAGACCAAGATAAGATCAAAGCCAAGACCAAGACCAAGACCAAAGCCAAGACCAAGACCAAGATCAAAGCCAAGATCAAAGCCAAGACCAAGACCAAAAAACAAGACCAAAAAGCAAGACCAAAACCAAAACCAAAACCAAAACCAAAAAGCAAAGCTACACCATGAGCTAGAACCCATATTGTGAACAACATTCACGGAAAAACGATCGATAAAGTGAAAACGGAGCTGAACGGGTTTAAAGTCGCTGAGGAGGAGGCTTCAGCAAGAGAAAGGCAAAAGTTTTTCAGGAGGCAAAAATTTCATGAACCGCCAAGAAAAACCCATATATCGATCCGACAATTGAAAAGCAACCGGTTGTAACGCTCTTGCACAAGAGATTCCGATGGAGTCAATGGATTGAATGAATCAGGATGAATTAGGATTGGTCTAAGGTTAGAAAGCAACCTATATCTATTCATTTTCTTGTTTAGATTCTGATGAGGATGGCGTTGACTACGATTGAGGGGATCCATTCACTAAGCCCACTTATGGCGGACACATGTATTACTTAAGCTTCGATTATAGCGACGCCCGTGAGAGCTTGCAGGCCGACCACCGCTTGACCTCCGCAAATGCCTATAGGGATGCGCCAAACACCCATGGAGGGGATCTATTGATTACCATTGGAGAAGCGGATCCAATGGTGTTTGGGACCTCGAAACTTTGACGGTGCTTTGTGCTGATCGAATGGTCGCTCTGAAGATGTGTTTTGAATTGGGTGAATCTGTTTTGACTATCCTGATATCTTGGATGATTGCTTGCCGCCGTTTTTTCTTGCCGCCGACGTTTAAAATGAGTTCTCTATGTGTTTCAACGTGTCAATTCATCGGATCCACCAGAGACTGGCTGAACAACAACAAACTGCAACTTTGGACTCTTCCCGCTCGATTTCTAATGATCTCAATCCCATAGAGAGTTTAGAGGGAATACCCGGTCGAGCTGTCTACAAGAATTGGCGTCAATTTCAGAATTTCAAGACGTTTAACTCCAACTACAGCAACCGGCTTTAGCAACAACATAACATATGGCGCCTTAACATAACAACAACAATAACATAACTATGGCTGTAACGTAACAACAAAACAAAAAAAGAACAAAACAACAACATGACCGACCTTGGCAGCCACGGGAACGTAGTATCCAGGCCACTCATCAGTTGATCGCACCGAAGTAACATCAACAATGGGCATTTCTACTATTCATGATTTTATTGTGCTAAAAAGAAAATGGCTCTCTTCTCCGGGCATCGATTTGCAGCGATTCGGGCGATCTTTGCGCCTCGCTTAAATTTCGATAACTTTTCGATGCATCGTAGATGTAACTGAATTTGCATGAATCGGAATTTGCATGTACCTTTGTGACATCCAGAAGCTGAAAAAAGATCGTTTAAGCTAAACTAGTTTTAAAGCGCCAAAATTCGTTGATCGATTTGAGGAATTTTCCAGAATTGCCTTGGTGTCGATTTATGATCAAAATTCCCAGCTAGACTAATCCTGTGCTTTCCAGCATTGATATTTAGACTTTAAAATCGAAATGTGAGTCTTTGGCTTCTTTAGATCACACACCTAAAGCCATTCTCGTCTCTGGTCTCCACCCAACCGTGTCCTCCATAAAGAATGTCGACATGCAGGGTTCTGTCCAAATCGTTGGCGATCAACCGCTTCCGACCGAGTCGCTCGATGCTCAGCGAGGTGGCCAAGATTTCCCAAAGTTCTCTGCCTAAAATCCTTTAGTCAACGCTAAAGTGAGTGCCGAAACGCAACCTTTCTGAGGCACAGAAGAAAAGGTTTCGCTTTCACTTTACCACTATCTCCAATTATTATGCTGAAAAAGAGTCCTGCTAGGGAAAACGATCATGTTCCCATGTTTCTCCCATCGTTTCGGCAAATCCTTTTGCATATCGTCATTCCAACGACAACTCCTGAAGCGCGGTGACGAATCTGAATGAAGAGATTGAAAGTAAAGTGAAAATTCGTCAATCCTGGATGTCAGGTAACATGTTTTTTTTTCTAATAAAACATCAGAAAAATTTTTAGAAAAAAATTCATAATGCGGAATGTTTTGTTAAGAATTTTTGCAAATTTTATAAAATGATGAAATTTTGGAAGTAAAATTGTTTATTCTGGATGTCATTTAACAAGAATTTTCGCTCGAACTCTTAAGAAAACTCACATTTTCAAGCATCGCTCCAAACGATGAGGAGAGCGTCACCTTGTTCTCATGCAATGATGGAGCTTCTCGGAATTCAATAGCTAGCTAAGCTCGAGACATTTTTCGAGGCGTTATTCAGTGCGTTGGTTGCATTAGTTGAAACTGTTCAGTTGAAACGCTCGAATTCCATAGTGAGCAAAGATTTTCTCTAATGTTAGTGCACCCAGAAATTGCAGCCGTTGCACCCCGAGTTGAGGACGATTTTCTCGTTTCTGTTTTCACAGAAAATCAACACTCAAATCCCCCGAAGCTCAGACAGTTTGAGTCTGGCTCAAGACAATCAGACAGTCTTGAGCTTGGCTTCTGACCTGTCTAACTGATCTTAGGCTTAGGCTTAGGCTTATTCGATTGTCAAATCCGATTGGCAAATTTCTGATGATCAACAATAACACCGTGTTTTCTCGTAATCGTAGTGCACCCAAACGAGCCGAGTTGATGACGATTTTACGGCTTTCAAAGCTTTCACAGATGCTCAACACTCAAACCCTCCACTAGATCTGATCGTCAGCTCCATTTTCCACCCTCACATCGATAGGTTTTGATAAGCGGTTCTCGAGTTTTCGAGGAATTTAGGCGCCCTACTATTAGAGGCTACTAATAGAGAAAACGGTAGATCAAATTGGGGTTCTTTAGTGAAATTCTAGGGTCTGAACGAATTAGTGAAGTGTCACCTTTTAAAATCATTTGCTCACGATGATCCATGGATGCCGAAGAGGCGCGACATCCACCGCTAACTGATGGGATTGATGAAGAGGGGACGGGACATCTTCTAAAAAAATTACAATTTTATTCCACATCTTCTCAACGATTCGATCAATCGCTAATTGAAAAATGATAAATAAAAAAAGAGAGTTAATTTTCAAATAATTTTTGCTTTGCTTTGGCTTTGCTTTGGCTTCGTTTTGGCTTCTGCTTTGGCTTTGCTTTGGCTTTGCTTTGGCTTTGCTAAGCTTTGATTAACGCTAAAATATTTGTTATCAACACGAAGTAAATCTCAAAAATTCCCTGAAAATTGATCAACGAAGGACCAGAGTCGTTTATAGAAGCTGACCCAAAGGAAGGAAGGAAGAAGAAGGAGGAAGGACCAGAGCCAGTTTATAGAAGCTGACCCAAAGGAAGGAAGGAAGAAAGAAGGGAGGAAGGACCAGAGCCAGTTTATAGAAGCTGACCCAAATCCCTTGGCTTCATTCAATTCTCCATGAACCCAAGAAAGCTTAATTGTCAATCCTGAAAGCACGGGATTAGTCTAGCTGGAAATCTGATCATAAATTGATAAGGGGACAATTCTTGGAATTGCCAATTCTATTCCCCTGAAAATTGATCAACGAATTTTAATTGAAAATGAATGATATTATTTGTGCATAATTTTCGATCGTTGTTTTCGTTGATACCCTTCGCAAAGAATCATTTCGGTGAAGGAAGGAGCTGACACCCTCGCCTCCTTGTTCAGCTGACTGAA